TTTTTTTTTTAGATATCTAAATGGACACAGCTTTTGATCCAGTTTTGAATATAATCTTCACAGTTTTAAAATTGAATGGAATTTTCATACAATTTGATCAGCAACTATATTGTATCCTAGTAATGTTAATTGACTATGTATTTATTTATTTGTTTGTTTATTTTTGAGACAGAGTCTCACTCTATTGCCTGGGTTGGAGGGCAGTGATGTCATCCTAGTTCACTGATCCTCAAACTCCTGGGCTGTAGCAATCCTGCCTCAGCCTTCTCAATAGCTGGGGACTAAAGGGAAGCATTGCCATCCCTGGCTTATTTATTTATTTTTAATATTTTGTTGCTGTGCTACCCAGGCTGATTTCAAACTTTTACTCTCAAGTGAGCCTCCTGCTTCAGCCTCCCAAAGTGCTAGTTTATAGGCATGAGCCACCTTGCCCAGCCTAGTAATGTTTAATTATAAAGCAAATTTAATTGCAATATTAATTGTAAAGCAGATTTTTAGAGTGAATTCTATTTTTTTTTCTTTTCTTAAAAAGTTAGAGATACATATAACCCCCCAAACTTCAGCTGGACATTGGATGAGAAGAGGATAGAATCTATGGTTAGCACACTGAAAGCAATAGGAAGAAAGAGCCACAAACTTCTAGGAAGATATGGCTCAATAGAGCCTTTAAGAGTACATAAAAAGGTGTTTGTGTGCTTATGTCTTCATAATATATTTTCCTATATTTAGGTGGCTTTGCAAAGGTCAAACTTGCCTGCCATATCCTTACTGGAGAAATGGTAGCTATAAAAATCATGGATAAAAATGCACTAGGGGTAAGTTTAAAATTATTTTTTTAATATTCTACCTGTGGATCAATTTTGTGAATTAAAACTCAAACATGTTTTTATGTTCTAGTAACTTCTTTTTCTAGAATATTATTTCGTACCTTTTAAAAAATGTATAGATTTGTGATTTTAAAAAGTAATCTGGGGGCGGGGATTACTTTATTCTTCAGATTTTAATGCAGGGCACGGGCATGTGTTTGAAATCTGTAGCCTCCATTTTTCTGTCGTTGTTTCATAGTCTTGTAGATGTTTCTGGATATTAGTATTTCTTGTCTTTATTTTTTCATGGTATTATTAAATGTTGATCTGTTTTTTAGTGTAGATAGGTAGGTAGATAAATCTTATGTCCCAGCATTTTAATTTTATTCAAAGTGACCTTAGAAATTATCTAGTGAAATCTTTTTTTTTTCTTTTCTTTTCTTTTTTTTCTTTTTTTGAGACAGAGCCTCAAGCTGTCCCCTTGGGTAGAATGCTGTGGCATCACAGCTCACAGCAACCTCCAACTCCTGGGCTCAAGCGAGTCTCCTGCCTC